GAAGGTTGCCTGACGTTTCTTAATTGACGCCGAAGCCACCGGATTATTTACCAACCTCTCACCCTCGCCCCGGAGATCGTTACGTGCGAGGGTGAAACGTGAAACGAAGACATCTGCTAAAGTTTCGCATTATTTGTGGATGGCAATCCTTCCTAATTTAGGTCATCCGACTGAGATTGAAATCCAGAGGTCGCCGGTTCGATCTCCCCGGCACCACAGTTGAAAAAGTGGCACACGTTTATTAAATACCCCCCCCCACACCCACGTCCCTATCCACCCAGCAGTATAAGTGGGCACTCCGCAGTTAGTCGATCGGTAGGTTCACGTGTGATGGGGTTAAAGTGTGGGTACTCTCCCATCTTCAAAAACACACAGCCAGCGTGGAAGAGTAGGCCAAATATCCTGGAGAAAAGGTCCCCCTAGAGCCACGATATCAAAGGCCCTTTCCAGCAGTAGTGGGCTGAACAAGCATTTGCAGGACTGCACCTTTAGCTTTTCCACCTTTACTATTTTTTTGAGAACTGTGGTGGTTTTATTTTTTTCCAGTGAGGTGGTCGTAGTCGTTAACGCACTGCACGACAAAGCCGGCAAACCCGAGATTGATTCCGGGCCATGGCGAAAAATTAGTGGCGAGTGATATCTGTATCAGTCCTGGCATCGTCTTCACCAACCTATACTACTTACCAGCGTGCTGAAGTATGGTCAAACAACAACCGCGATCGACACAGGATGTGGAGCCCTTCACCCATCAGGAGATTAAGGATGAACATTTATTATTCTTAAAAAAAAAATTTCATTGCACTTCTTACAGTATATTATTTTGATGGCGTCATTTTTATGGAAACAAAGTGTGTCAGTATTGGGAAGGAAAACAACCTCATTATGCTCAGCTGAGCAAATTAAAGCCCGATAATATACAAGCAGCACGAGATATATCACATACACCTGTGTGCGGTAATGTGTAGCAGGCGTCACCTGCTCGCTATTGGCTTTAGCTTCACATGCCACGGGAGGCAAATGATTTGGTTCATTGATGATGGAAATGTTATTTGTGTTTAGCACGAGACTAGACGGAATAAATAACTTTAGGCTGACCGAAGTGAAGTTATTAAGTCTCTGGTGAGTATTTTCCGAGGGCCCAAATTTGCCCATTTTGGTTCACAATTTTTGGAATTGCAAGCATTTGCTCGACTAAAGTGTCATCAATTGTCAGCTCTATGTCCCTTTTGAAAGCATCATTAGCATTTACATTGCTCACTCGTCATTTTCTGCGCATGTCAGATGAACTAGTAACTTGTGTTTAATGTGTAAGATTCTGGACTCGAAGCTTGGTCTTGGAGTAAATCTTGGAAAAAAAGGTAATTATTTAACCAAGAAGGTAATAATTCCACCAATGAAATCGTGCTCGCGTTATTTGCATCTTCCTTAAGCATGTTTGTGTGGCGCGGGAAACTGGAGTGTTCGGAGAAAACTCATGCCGACTTTTTTTTTAAACTATACTAAGCCAGGCGTTGGCAAGCCCGCCGCTCCTGAGCTACACGCGGCTCTTTAAGAACCACTTCGTGACCTTGTGTATTCAGGACCACCGTCTCGTATTCACCACATTCATTGTGGCTCTTAAAATATAAAAACATTTTTTTACCAATTTCGAAAAAAGAGGCCCTCCTTATTTTGGTTTGCCGACCCTCTGTCGTCGGCAATTGGATGCTGCCGTGGCGCGCAAGGCTTTTGCACCGTGGACTTGCAATCCAGAGGTCGCCGGTTCAATCTCCCAGCACAGCAGTTGAAACAATGGGGCAATTTTCTTAAATCCCCCGGCTGCCTCTGTCCGCCCGGGCGATATAAAATTGGTACGCCACACACGCCCATCACGTGACGAATCCCCCATCACGTGGTAGGGTAAAGTGTGGGTAGCCACTTCCACTTTTTCCGAGATGTCTTTCGAGCGTGGATGAGAAGGCCAAATATCCTCTATATAGAGGGGCTCTCGAGCTTCCTTCCCTCGAGTGGAAATAATTTTTTGCCAGCAGTCATTGCCGGGCTACACCTTTACCTTTCACTCGGCAAGTCAAATCAGGCAGTCTCATGAGTGTTGGTGCCTTTTAGAGGAAGATACAACCCGAACGCAAATAAGCTCTTATTTCACAGATATATACTGAGGCTGTGTATCCTGTCCTGTGTGATATGCGTTTAAAACTTTTACATTGACAAAAAAAAAACACATTTTAGCTGATATCGGGAGCACAGCAGTTACATTGTACGAGATTCCCTGAGAGTCAAACCGTAGTTGTGGCACCAGTATGCCTAGCCGAGACTTGAATTTTTTTTTCTTAAATTAATTAAGCTTCCCATACAGACCTGACAGCTTCTGGAACACACATAGCAGACATTCCCAAGGCAGTACGGAATTCCTGGGAGACTCGTTATGAAATATAACACCCGTGAGCGGTTACCTAGGGCTTAATTTATGAAATAATTTCTGAGACTCCCACCCCTCCCACCCATTCCTCAATCTCCGAGACCCTATCATGCCCCCATCCCCCACAACCGCCTGATATTTGGGTGCAGAATGGATACATATTTTCAGGAGCTCGGCCCCAGACAGCTCCAGCAGAAAATTAATCCTCTGAGGTTATAGAAATATTCCGTTAGCCTTAGTATCGTGAAATCATTGCGGAATTTTTTTTTTTGCATCAAGAGAGGAAAAAATGAATTCTGGGAGACATGGGGGGGTGGGGGGGACGTGGTCAAGCGTTACTTACGCTTTTAGCACAGCGCCAGCTGGCGATAGATGAGGGCTGCTGCATTCGTCAGAACTGTCGACGCGATCCCGTCGACGCTGAAAACACGACGGCATCGACATCACACGCGGCGCAAAAGATAAGCGAGCGCACGCGCCGCTTGTATCGATGATTGCCGGGTTGTGTGCGAGTCGGCTGTTCGCGGTGGCTAGTTGGGATGCGGCAGCTGTAGCGGTGAGCGCTACAGCTACGCTGGGAACCCGGAGACCGGAGTTCGATACCCTCTCCCGGCCCAACACCAATGACGATTATCTGAACCGGTCCTGGGACTCCCCCAGGTCGACTCAACCTCAAATGAGTACCTGGTGCGGTGTGTAAACATCGCCACTGTGAAGACAAAGGCGGCCGGGAATCGTGCTTGCCACCCACCTCCCTCGTGTGCAGTGGCGGCCTTCATGTGTGCTCGCTAGCAGCACTTGCCCCAACAGCCTCCTAAGGCTATACGGGGGATCTTTGTCTTCGGGATGGCTGCATCGTTGTAATGCCATTTCATGTCCGATAACAAAACCACTGCATTTGCAACCTCGGGCTTGGATAAAGGGCCACACTTTGGTATTGCGGGAATTCAGAAACCTTTGTTGAGCGCAGACTCAGCCGCGCCATGTTGATGAGAGCCAAGAGGTTGACTCGGATGTTCCGTGGATGAACACATTTAAGATGCGAGTGCGAACACCATTACACGCACGGCGCTTTGCCGCGTTGTGCCTATTGCGGGAGGCCCTGGATTCAAAGGAAACCAAACAAATTTCGATTTAAAGCTTTCGTGACTGCAGGGATTCATCTTCTTGGTTTCTTTCGGTAAAGTCACCACGTAGAATGGAAATAAAATAATAAAAATAAAACATAATAAAATAATCATTATTTTATTTCCATTCTACGTGACTTTACCGAAAGAACCAAGAAGATGAAAACCAAACAACAGCAACAAAAAAAGACGCTGCCAAATCAGCCGGTGGCATCGTTTGGAATGTCTCGAGCCGACTGAAAGCATCGCTTTCAGAGCGGCTCAGCAAATGTGAACGGTAATCATTCCAGCGATGTCATTGGCGTGCATCTGCCACAGTGAGTCTACAAGGCATTCAGACTTCACAATTTTGAACTCAATGTACATGTAACCAATATTACATACAATTTTAAATGGGCTCAGAGGTTATGAGAAGAAACAAATGGAGACAATTACTTCACATTACGGGAGTGGTGGGAGTGGGAGGTCACAGGCCAAGGCAAGGGTGCGCAATGTGTATGGTTGTTGATTTTAAATAAATAAATAACTAACCATTAACTATTTTTATTTTACCAGCGAAGGCCCACTGAGCTATGTAGCTCTTTTTCAGAAGCGACCTGGCCACAAACGATAGCTCAACGAAGTGGCTTATCATGTGGAAATGTATAGCAACCGAATGCTCGACATGCAAGCTGAGTCTAAACACGGAGGGGAAACCCGGAGGACCCCGGAACAAAAACCACGGAGAGAAAATCCAAGAAAGCGCCCCACCCCTGAGAATGCCATCATTGATACCGCAGGTTACCGCAACAGAATGACCCTCCGTAAATATCCCCTGCCTGCATAATGATCAGGCACAAGAGCAGAAAAGGCGCATTATCTTACGAATAAAAAACATTTCCCCATATGGCTACGGCTTACTTGGCCCTGCCTGCATAATGATAAGGCGCAAGAGCGGTAAGGCGCATGAGCTTACGAATAAAAACCATTTCCCCATATGGCTACTACGACTTACTTGGCCTCAATTTCAACGTGGGAGCATCAAAAGCCGGTTCAAATGCATTGTGCGTCGAGTAATGCTGTATCATTAACATTTAACGTTCCCTGTTTATTGTAAGCCTTCGTGTGCATCCACGTCTTACTTTTTTAAGCAGCGATGGACGTAAAATCGTATTATTTCTACGTGCACGGACGCACCAAATTTGCTACAGTCGGCTTTGCGACAACCGTTGTAATGGATGAGCGCAACAAGTTATTCATTTTTCCTTTCTCACTTTAGGCCTCGTAGAACATTCCCATTTTGGAACATTCTGGACGTGCAGTTCACGAGCGCCGCGCTGGGAAAACGCCAAAAGCCACCAGACGAACCGGAGGGCCCTTCCCCATTGCTCATCTGCCGAGACGCGAAAACGACGACACGCGGGTAGCACCCCCAGCGTGCACTGGGGGCGCGTGGGGGCGGGGGGGCGGCTTACCTTTTTCTTTTTATGCCTCTGAAATCGCATGGCAGCGAACTCTTACGAGACTCGTCTGAATGCGTTACTCGTTGTGAACAAGCGCGCCACACATCACCCGTTGCTCGGGTGTGCGCAGGCCTCCCCTCCCCCCCACCGGGGGAGCTCGCGACTCGCGGGGCCAAGCGCAAAGGTGGTGGAGGCGGTGCTGGCGTGGGGCGGAAGGGAGAGTCACCTCGCTCGGCATAGTGCGAAAGTGTCCATGAGACACACCGATGCATCCCCCGCGCATTGCGATCACATCAGAGCCCGGGGGGGAGGGTGGTGCAGGGATAACGGCGCGGTGAGTCTCTGCCGTTGCTTGGCAGCAGGGATGATGATGATGGTGGTGATGCGCTTCGAGAGGGCTGACGTCACCCACTTGATGCTACGGAGTATGTACACGCATTGTAATGTTGCGTTGGACTCTTTGCGCACCGTATGTCGCCAACCGTGCGAGTCGGAGGTGTGGGGGAAGGACGTTCAAGCTAGATACACACACACACACAAACTGTTCTGAAGATATGAGTGTTCAATGTAGAGCTGTGTTCTTCACTCATTTTCAGAGAGGGGGAGGGGGGGGCACTTCCGCCGATAAGACATCGTCAGTGTGAGGGCCGCCACGCGTTTGAAACCATTGAGGGTTTGACAACAGCACGATGATGATGGGGGGGGGGGGGGGTTGTCACTCGTTGTGTATTGCGGGGGGCTGCACGTCAGGGGCCGCACTAGAAGCCACCAGGGGCCGCGAGTGGCCCGCGGGCCTTGCAATGAAGAGCCCTGGGGTAGACGACTTTAAAGTGCACAGCTTCAGTGGCCCCCTAATATCGGATGAAGGAACGTTCCAGACGTGCCGCAGAAGCGCGTCCGAAAACGCGCGACGCCGGGATCTTTCGTCTGAGGTCGCCGTCCTCGTCCCGTGATTGATCTGTGGCAGCTGCGCTCAGACTTTTAGGAGAACACTTATAGGGCGCGCGCACGTTGTCGGTTCTGGGTTCAGCGCCGAACTCGTGGAAACTTGGATGGATGATGATCGCTACGCGTCGAGGTGAGGGGCGCTGGTGCCGTGCCTGCGTGTAGAAGAAGGCCTGCTGATGCAGGCAGTGATGAGAAGGAAATTGCCACTAGTTTGGACGCATGCGTATGATGGACAACAACAGCAACATTAACAGTGTATTGGTGTTCGTAAAAATGTAAGGAACCGGAGAGAGAGGAAGACCTTACAGAGGACGGTTTGACGACGACATCATCACAGAGATTGGTGCCAGAAAGATGCGGCACTACTTGAGCATATTGTCACGAGACAGAGGAAAGTGGAAACAAATCATGAAATGTGTGGTGGACTCCTACGGGCTATCTGCCCCATGGATCGCGATGATGAATGGCGGTGTGGTAAAACAAGTTCACAATTTACCTGCGATGAGATGCACCTTGTACTGGGATACAATCTTATGTAACTGCATATATCCAGCGGGCACTGTAGTTGGAGCATTTGATTTAACATTGGAAGATAGCGCATTACAATTCTGCTTGGGGGGGGGGGAAGATAAATTACTGGCGAAACGTCGTACTCAGATTGTAAATGTTGTGGCTTGGCTCTCCAACACACCGGTGTGCTGTACTAGTGACGAATTGACCACGTTCTGTTTATGTGACAACCCTTACTAGTTGGCTGTGTCGGGTGGTGGCGGGTCTAACGGCACATTTATGTATTTACGCGATCTAACCCAAAAAAAAACTTTTATAAATTACTAAATCTTCGTAAAATATCAAATGTGGTCATTCTATAAACAAACGGGTCCCTTGCCATGGGAATGTAGAAATTCCACCACCCGCTCAGAAATGCCAAGAGAAATGTGTACCCGAACTTTTATTAATTTCATTCGTATTTAAATAATAATTTGCGGCCTAACTCTTGATGGATCTGAGTGAAAATAAATCCACAAAATGCCCTTTTCACGCTTTGACAAGAAGTCAACATTCATCCTCATAATCGCAACGGCAAAGCAAAACTCTGTCCAGCGTGCAAAGAACGGATAAAAAAATGACTTACAAACGCGTCAAGTTATTTCACCTTCGGCAGCCTCTCCACATCACTCGAACGAACCCACAGAGACAAAGCGTTGCTGAGTGCTGCGCCAAGGAACTCCACGATGACCGTATGGAAGCTTCTCTCCATCGATGTCAGCGTTCCGTGACCAGGGTCGATGGCGCGTTTCCATTCTAAAAAAGAAATCCCCCGTATGGCCTGAACAGACCGCTGGGGAAAGTGCTGTTAGCGAGTAGCACCTATGAAGGCCGGCATGGCACACAAAGGGGTGGGTGGCCAGCACCACACCCGGGCCCACCTTTGTTTCCCGAGTGGCGATGTTTAAATACCGCACCAGGTACTTATTTGAAACTGAGTCGACCTAGGGGAGGCCCAAGACCGGTTCAGATAATCGTCACCGGTGTTTGCAGTGAGCGGGAATCGAACGTCGGTCACCGGGTTCTTAGCGCAGCGTGCTAACCACTGCACTACCGCTCCCCACACACACACATACTCGCTGTCTCTGCTCCCACGTGTTTAACTGTGTACGTAAAGTGTTACCTACACAGTTGATGGGAACGGTAGTGTAGCGGTTAGCGCGCTGCGCAATGAACCCGGTGACCCGAGTTCGATTCCCGCTCACGACCAACACCAATGGCGATTATTTGAACCTGTCCTGGGCCTCCCCTAGGTCGACTCAGCCTCAATCGAGTACCTGGTGCGATGTGTAAACATCGCCACTTGGGAGATGAAGGCGGCCGGGCGTGGTGCTGGCCACCCACCCCCTCGTGCGTCTTTTCGGTTTTCATAGTGCACTCGCTAACAGCCCTTGTCCCAACAGTCTGTTAAGGCTGCACGGGGGATCTTTGTCTTTTGTCGAGTCACAATGGGCGCAGTGGCAGAGTGCTTAGAACACTGGGCTACAACTGTGGTTACCGAATTGTAATTAATGCGCAGCGTCTCGTGGTTGTCCTGTTTAAATATTCGGTGTATCTTCCGGCTCGTGCGGTGTCCGAAGTTTCGCTCCACGTGGCTTGCAATTCACTTCCCGAAGAAGCGCCCGTCACGTGGAGCAAAACGTCGGACATTGTGTTCCGAACAACGCGCGGTACAATCCCAAAACGCATCGCAGGTTCCATTCTGGGCCAAGCACAATACCAGTGGCAATCCCTACGTGAACATGCCACGGGTCTCAGCTAGGTCAACTCGGTATAAAATTAGTATGCAGTATGATGTCTTGAACTTGAACGCTGCTAAGACAAAGGTGAATGGGTGTGTTAAGCACCACACCCTTGCGTGCCGTGCAGACATAAACACGTGTTTTGTAACGTATATATATGTATGTATGCATGATTATTTAGTATGATGTGTGTGTATGTTAATATACGCTCCCGATGGTCCGATGATGCCACAATCCGTGTCGCTCTCGCGCTTTAGAGGGCCTCGGCGCCTTCATCTCTGCGCTGACCAAATCCGTCCGGTGCTCGCCGAGCTCTGTGGGCTTTCGGTTGCCGAACCAAGTGCGTTACAAGTTCGCACTCATTACACACACAACGCACTTGCCACAAGTGGACCACAAAGCCTCGCTGATCTTGTCAAGGAGCAATAAACCATCAGGCGAACTCCGGTCAGCCTCGCAGCGGCTTTTTGGCTCACCGTCGGGCAAAGACGGTCACCGCATGGCACGCTTTCAGACGCTCTTCAAAGGAAGCCACTGGAGCTGTTCATACTCTTTGGTTCTATTCGGTAAAGTCACGTAGGTAAAACATAAAACAACAAAAATCACGACGTTTCGGCCACAACACAAGTGGCCTTCATCAGGTGACACAAGTGGCCTTCATCAGGTGATGAAGGCCTTCATGAAGGCCTTCATCACCTGATGAAGGCCTTCATCACCTGATGATGAAGGCCTTCATCACCTGATGAAGGCCTTCATCACCTGATGAAGGCCTTCATCACCTGATGAAGGCCTTCATCACCTGATGAAGGCCTTCATGTTGTGGCCGAAACGTCGTGATTTTTGTTGTTTTATTTTTTACCTACGTGACTTTACCTAATAGAACCAAAGAGTATGGATCCTTGCAGTCACAAAAGCTTCAAATCTAGAATGGAGCTGTTCACTTTTTAATAATCCAGGTTGAAAACTCATTTCTTTGGAACGGCGTTTTGTGTTCAGTGTGTTGGTCTTCCCCCCGCACCTCCGATTAGCCCGGTTGGCTACGTACGGTGCGAACGAAGTTCAACGTACTTATCCACACATACGTCATCCTGTCCGCGTGCGATCGCTTCGCCAGTTGGCACTCCATCAGCTGTCTCGCCCACTGGCCATCACCCCACCTTGCGTGCGACACGTCCTGCCCAGTCAACGTAGAGGCACTCTCGTTTACATTTGTTATCTGACCAATTCGTGCCTCGCTCACTCGATCAATGCAGTTGCCCAGCGTGCATCTCCAAAGGCTTTTTTGTTTTACTTTTCAGCCACAGCTCTCGTTTCTTTTTCTTTGTCGAGATCGCCCTCGCCGTATTAAAAAAAAATATCCTCCAAAGACTTGCCCCTGCCTACCTCTCCTCTCTCATCTCTCTCTGCTCCCCTCCAAACACTCTCCGCTCCAGCAACTAAGACCTTCTTGTCAAAGCCCGCTGTCAACTTTCACTCAGTGGGAGGTCACTCGTTCTCTTGTGCTGCCCTTGCGGTCTGAAATTCCCGTTTCTGGGCCAGGGAGTCAATAAACCTGCTATTGACTCAAGGCCCCTTGTTCTCTGCTGCCTATGACTGCCGCTTTCCCTCGATGAGAAATAACGCGGGCTTCCATCTCCGTGATGCCCCCCCCCCACTGTTCCGTAGAACATCTTTAGATGTGGCTGCATTTAGATGCCATATACATCCCGACCAAACACGTGTACTTTGTGCATAGAAGGGAATGGAAACATTGTCGAAGCACAACGTATTATAGGTTTGGCAGTTTAATTCTCGAAAGTCATTGTCCAAGTGGTTTTGCACTCATCCATACAAATATGGGATGGATCTCTCCCGTTCACTGGCCCGCTTTCTGTGGTGGGGAATTCCATGTTCCCACATCAGGGGTGAGTCTATCCATAGAATGAGCGTTGTTGAATTCCCCGACTAATTGCCGCTCCGTTTAGCTGTGGCACAATCAAACGGAATGTGGCCGAATCCATCAATCCTCGGAAGCCCCGCAGGTTTAAGTCTGGAGAGTGCTTGTGTAGTGGACATAGGACGTCACTACTGTGTCGGCCCGTACGAGATCCTGGGGGTCCCAAGGGGGTGCCTGGGGGG